GAACTGGGTGAATGACGGGGTGATTTACTGGGGGGTGCACTGTCAGTATCACGTTGCCTCTCCCGGTAGTGTGGGGAGTTTGGTCGTTTAGATTCAGTAGATGTTGATGTACTACTACTTGATGATGGACTTGAATGAGTCTGAAATACAAGAATGGCAGTTTTTATCGAGATATTAAAAGTTCTGCTGGGATATTATTATAACAATACTACTCAGTGAGCAATACTAAAAGCATGCATTATCATCATCATTTTTTAGTTCACTCTTTTAAACAAGTTCAACATTGATTCAATAAGATCAAAATTTATCATTGATCTTGTTTCATCAACCAATAAGTTATTTCATTACCAAGCTTTCGGGCCTTAGGCCCATCATCAGGGTTAATGGACTCAACACTAAAAAACGTTACAAATCCATGCACGATATGGCGTAAGCAAAATTATTCTCGAGCGCTTACAAAAACAAAAAAAAATAAGCGCAAGCTATAGTTAAGGTTCTAGAGTTCTAAGAGTTCTAGAATTACACTATTTTCAATTCAATAGAGAAATATAATTATCAGGCAGTTTTCTGCCGGAGTCTCAAAATTGTTTAAACATGTTGAATGTCCTCCCCACACACATTCAACATACCCATGCACCAAAGTTGAACAAAAGTTGAAAGAAATGTTGCAAGCATTTGCACTGGCCTTAATATTATGTTTTCAATAAAGACATCACCACAGACTGCAGTCACAGAAAGATAAAAAAAACAAAGTTTCACAGGAAGTTTACATCATTATTTAAGGAATAAAAGACGAAATTCCGTGTTTGATACTCTGATCAAAACACGCGGGATGTAGGGAGAGCACGAGAGAAGCGTAGGAAACCACGACGCGTAGCGGAGTGGTTTCCAGCTTTTCGAGTGCTCTCCCTACATCCCAAGTGTTTTGATCAGAGTATCAAACACGGAATTTCGTCTTTTATTTCTTTTCTAAAATTAAAAGAAAAAAAGAAATTTTTGACGTGCGCGAGCGTGTTTTGATACTGTAATCAAACATGGTTTTCGACCAATCACAGCGCGCGTAGTATCCTAAATATTTTAGAATACTATGTTTTTCCTGATAAGATATCATCCATCAAACACTAAGCCCAGTACTCCATATTTTCTGTGAACTTACAGTAGGTCTTGCTCCCCTTGCTCTTCGYTCAGAGTCTTGTAGCCAGTTTAGATAAGACTCCCTAGCAACAGCTTCCTCCATAGCTTCATTGGTTGCCTCCCAGTCTGTAGCTCGTAGTTTATCCTTGAGCATTTGCTGCAAGGSAATAATTGCATAATAAGTCTAGAATGAACACAAGTGTCTTATACAATATGTTGATAAAATAAAATCTATTTTTTTAGTACCTAAGGTCCCTATAGTTACTATTAACCACTATCACTTGACTGGAACTGTTTACAGTCAACTCCCGCCCTACGGGAACACTCCGCTACAACAGACAGCAAAATACTGAATCCCCAGCAAAAAATACAAAGAAATGACTGAAAGTAACCCTCGTTACTATGGAATCTCGCTACTGCAGACACTAAATTACGGTCCTGAAGGTGTCTATTATAATAGTGAGAGTTGACTGTAGTGCTAGTGACCAATATTCACTAAATAAGCACTATTAAGTAGTAGATATTTTAAGTTTGTATGACTTCTAATTATGGACAAAAGTACCTGCTCTAAGTGCCAGTCCTCTGACTGTCTCACTGCATCATTGACCAGCACATTCTGTATACAAACAAACATCGATAAGTACATATTAAAAAACAACAAGTGTGAGCTGATAGCTTGAGACACAATAGCCGACTTGCGAATTACGCATCAATAGTCACATACAAAGGAATCAAGACGAGGCGCTGTGCTTTTTTGTGAAAAATCTATTGTCTTTAGCACGGCGCCTCGTCTTGATTCCTTTGTATGTGACTATTGATGCATAATTCGCAAGTCGGCTATTGCAAGCATAATAGTCATAATTATTACACAGTATGTGACTTTTTTCTATCATTGTTTCAAGTTGAATTATATTCAGGCTCCTTCAAGTTGAATTATATAATTTCCATCTGTAGCCAGCAGTCAGCTAAGCTGTTGCTATGTGTTGTGATACGTACCCATGGTTTATATCCTGATAACCCTAAACCCACACCAACTGAAGGCTTGTTAGGATTAATTACAGAGTTATAGTGGACATGCCCATGATAGCTCAGTCTAATTGGTTCATTATCTGTCTTGTATGTGCTATGGAATATATTGATTGGTTCTGCAATGGAAAATTGTTGAACAATAATAGTGAGCATATTATACCTGTACAACAAATGTGCACAAATATAAAATAGTCTTCCACTTGACAGAATGTGTTGAGTTTTGGTTGAAGAAACAGCAATTTTTAGCCTGTTTCAGACGTCCATCTTTTGTCGAAGCTAATCTAATTGGTGGAGTTGAGTTTATGAGGCAGTATTTTTATATACTGAATTTCTTGACATTAGAATAGTTTGTTCAGTTGGAGAAACTTACTATAATCGGTAAATATCAATATTGATGTAGAGTGTACATAAACTTCTCCAGACCTGCACTGTAAGCAATTAGATTAAAGCCCAGTTTGCACCATTACGCTTTGCGAGCCTCTGTTGTATTGTTATGATTTACACCAAAATACTTCTAGTATCCAAATATCATCATAAAATGAAGTAAGATGGTTTAAAACTCTCACTAATATTATCGTTTAAAGTGCTTAGAAAAGTGAGACGGTCAAAGTTTCGAAATGCACAGTACAATTTATAGACTTTCGGTAAACTGAAAATGGCCGCCCGAGGCCCCCAAAGCATAATGGTGCACACTGGGCCTTTAAGATGCGACAAAAGATTGATGCGGGCCTTGCTTGCATCGTTACAAAGAAACAACGTCACTAATGCTTCAGGGATTCACAATTAAAGCCCCAGCYCCATCAAAACTATAATCATTGCCYGAGATATGACTTACCAATAGAGTTTTGGTATACTTCTACAGTACGGTTATACATCTCACTGAGAGCTTGCATTTCAACATGGTTGCCATGGCAGTGGTTATCACGTTTTCTCCGGATATAAGTATAGAAGTCTTCAGTGATGTACTGAGAATAGTAGTCTATGTTTTTAACCTAGAAAATGAGAATATTACTTAAAAACTTGATTTGATCATTTGACAACTGATAATAACTTAGTCTAGTCCTGGCTTCCTTTCGACTCACTCCAGGACTCTGAGGGAAACAGAGTCCAGTATATCTTACATGCCCAGGGTTCTCAGTACAAGCTGGCAGCCAGCGAACACTGCCAGTTAAAGCTTAGTTAGTTAATTGCTGGCTACTTACAAATTTATTAGCAAATTATTTGGCTGTACTTTTCCTATTTTGATATCTACTTTTATTTCTACTGAGAACCCTGCATGCCCTGCATGTGCCAGGCAGTTCATAAAATAACATATCCTATAGACACTTCTACAATCATGTAGGGGTAGGAAGTAAAGTGGGGAGCACAGGTGTTTCTGTGTGGGCTGAGGAAATGCTTATAAATTAAGAGAGGATTATAAGAAGCCTTCTGTCCAACAACTTTCTGATTTATCACCAATCTCCTATGACCCCTATCGACCCTGGGTAAATGAGTTCCTTAGCCATACCATGTAGTCCATACAATGTTTCCTGACAATATCATGCATTCCTTGATCACCATATACTTGATCAGCTGAAAGCAATATGGGTATATATATGACACACTTATTGGAGTATATTTGAGTAATTATAAGTACAAAAGAAGATCACTCAAGTCAAACGATTTGTCTTTAAATTGATCTTTGTCTCTGTCTTTGCGAGTGTATTGTAAGCCTAATACTGTCCTATGATAAACTTACACACTAGATAGCTGTTTTTATTTTTTGACAGTTTCGAGACTTTTATTTTGTGATAGTCTGTAGCTGTACTGAGACAACTTTGGGTTTGCAATCATTATTCTATCTGGTATTACAGAGAGATCACACCCAACAACAAAACCATGTAATATGAATTGTCTCATGTTTTTGATATGCTCAAAATCTTACAGTACGTTGTTGGGATAATAAATACAAGAGTCTTGTTACATTGAGAGTACAATAGGTGTCCTGAAAAAGTAACCTTGGGTTAGGGGCCACAAGAGGTTACAACTGCATAAAGTAGCCAGACCAAAACTAGATGCTGCAATTTGCCTATTGCTGGTTTGTTATGAAATCTCTGTGAATTTACATCGAATTCTCCATAACCACAAGTCGAATCATCATAGCCTTGTAACTTCATTACATTCAATATCACAGACTATTTTTCTATTCTATTTCTGATGTCGCTGTGAAAATGAAATCCTAGTTGACTAATTAAATAAAATAGGAATAATAATTATGACAACTGCCCTTAATAGAGGGTTCAATCTTATTAACATGGAAATTTATGTACGACTATTGTTCACAAACAATGTAAAAATATCTCATTACGATTTGGCAAAATATTATTTTATGAGTTCTATGAGTTAGGCTATGAAAATACATGAAACATAATATTGACATTAAGTGTTCTCGGAAATTCTGAGTTTTGATGAAATTCAAATTTACAAAAGTAGAGATGAGAGATATAAGATTATAATAGACAACAAACAATGGTCGTATTTTGACCCACAGTTGAAGTCGCTGACGAGGTTCTATAGCTTCTATTTCCTCATATTTTTTGCCCGTGATATAGATTTATATRCGAAGAAAGAGTTAAGATGGTAATACAACTATTCAAGGAATTACCACCTTGAATATTTTAATGACAAAACGATGTTGAAGAACAAGTACAYGCAAACATTCCTACCGACTGATCGGAAGAGACACGCTCCATCCTCGGCCATTCTTTTGATAACAAACCCTTTCTTTTCTTTCAAAGATTGCTCAAATTGTCTCTCCATCTTTAAGAATAAAAGGATAACAATAAATTACCAAAGTGGTATTGTTTTGAGATGAAAAGAAAGAGGAAAACATCATCTATTCTTGTACCTCCTCGGTGGTGACTTCCAGGTTTTGCCCCTCGTGTTCATCGGAACTGTTATAGCCCGCTTCCTCACCGTGCCTTTCATGATATTTATGGCGGTGTGGTGATCCTCTGTGTCTTCTTTTGGTACTACAAGAGGACTCCACAGCTTCTCTGGGCTCGAAACTTTCGCCAACATATTCCTCTGAAGCCCTTCCTATAGCAGTTCTTTCTGGAGGCGAGGGCCGACTTTGCAGACCTCTTATTCTCCCTCTATTATCACTACTAGGAGTGTTCTCAGATTTTTTACTCTCGGTATGCTTCTTCTTTGGTAAAATAGTCATTTCTACATTAAAAACGATCTAGAAAGCACAAAAATATCGCTATTTTCTTACAACATCTTCAAATGCACGTCCATCCAAATGAGTTTGTATAATAGCGTGACGTCATTTATTTGGTTATGCGCGTTACGGATGCGCACTTTCGAGGTCAGAATCTTCGGGAAATGTTCGGGCTGTCTTCGCGTAAAGCGGACATCATCACATTGGAAGATAATCTGTAAACGACAATTTAAGAAAATTATGCTGGAATATTATAAATACAGTATTTTCACAGAATTTATGAGTTGCAGTTTGTCTGARCTTTTTTCTATTAGCGAAAAACTCAATTCTTTATTTTTGCAATTATTGACCCTCCCCTCCCTAGACAAGATATCTGATACTTTTCTAGCACACATACGAGGCTGAATGAACAATGCATTCGAAGCGCCATATTTGAAGAGGATAGAAAGCAAACAACGATTGAATTATTTATTCCTATGACTACTCTTACCTAACGACGACAAACCTCTGTCGATCAGAGATCAAGATGGCCCGTGAAGGGCATGCAACGTCAGAAATTCCTCTCCAAACTGATGAAAGTATAATGACAACTTTACGAGTCATAATGGACGTGTTGAAGGTGAGTTAAGCTTTAACTTATATTGTAGAGCTTATAAAACCTCTTATGCACATGTCATGATACACACATTTGCATCCTTGAAATGTCGAAATCTTTGATCGATGTGAAGATGTTCAAGTTTGTGTATAAAAGTGTTATTTTGCACTCGATGTTATAGCTCATAAGTGTGCAAGGCCAGTGTTCTTGCTAATTTGGTTGCTAGCAGCTGGTCAAAGCCGGCGTCCCTAGTAGCAATATTTACATTCCGTCTTTGTCATTATACGGTGTAATTATATCTTTGCTACAAGGCGATTAATTACATGTTATGTTACACGTTATTATCTACAAGTCTCAAAGTTTTGTATCAGACCCAGAATGGGTAGAAAATGGTCACACAAATAAATCTGTACTGTACATCATATTTGCATATACGCTTTAAGTTTGTCTCATGGAAAAATCAGCAGGATACCAGAGTTTCAATTATTGTGGTATTGGAATAGATCATTATCATTACATATCAAATCATTATCCAGGGCTATTTGAATCACTTCTGATAAGACATTCTGGTCTGTTGATCTCAGGCAAATGATTGGTCAGTTTATTTGTTGTTGTTCTTTGAAGATTTATTTCTGCAATTCCATTCTCAGTTTCTTCTACTGTTATTTAATGTCCACTTTTTCTTCCAGATTTTTTTTTTCACTAGATATATCTTTTAGCATAAAATTTCTTCTTCTTTCTTTCTGTTTTTTTTCTTTTTTGTAATTATTATTTTGCCTTCATCAATTTTTCTACTTTCATTTCTCTGGATGTGTTTCCTTTATTACGTCAAAAAGTCATTTTGAAATACTTAACTAACAACTTTGCCTACAACCATTCATTTAAGTAATTTATCCTTAACACATGGCTTAATTAGCCTTGCCACAGTTGTAGCTGTGTTATGAAGATGACTTTAATACTAAAAGTTGCATGATTGTAGGCAAAAGTTGTGCCATCTAATTYAATTCTATTGATAAAACACTGTGTTAATAAATTGAATGATAAATCATAATCTGTACAAGACAATTATTAAAGAAAAAAACAACTACGGTAAYGTTTCTGGCATTGGYCCTCTGTTATCATATCCCTTACTAAGAACCACWTCCAAAGCTTGCATTCCACTATTTGTTTTCTYCTTTTGAAWGATTTATCACTGACAGCTGTTGTGGATAATGATTTAATGATTTGCATTTCTAGTCCCATGATGGCTCTATTAARCAACTACAGAAATGGTTGGATAGTACCAATGAATCTGGTAAAAACAGAAGTCCTCTGGTAAGTTTAATGGTATCACCTTCATCCATTTATAATGTCATGATAAATGAAATGCTACATGTCCGTTTAGATGTGTGGTCTCACTCTGAGGAAACTGGGACTGACTGATGGAATGTAATATTGAGCTGATAGTTTCATGATTTTACAGCTTAAAGGGCTACTTGGACGAAAACTGCGAAGCATTAGAAAAGACTTGGAAATCAAATAGACCTATCCATATGAGTCCAATAATCATGAAGCAACAAATTTCAAGAAGATATTGATACAAATCCTTATTATTTGGGCAAAAAATGTTGGAGTAGATGACGTCATTTACTCCATCCTTTTGTTCTTCCATCTTTTGAATCAAAATTTAATTGTTTTTAATAGATATAAATGAGTCATATATTTGTATTGCTTGAAGTTTTGAAATAAGACCATTTTCATGCAAGTAGCACTTTAACATATCAACAAGAAGACATCTCCAGCCAATAGAATACTGACTGATGGAATATATTATTAATAGCTGATAGTTTCATGATTTTACTACATTCTGTAGCAACAAGAAACATCTCCAGCCAGTAGATCAATCACTGTACTTCCTTCAAGCTTTCAATTTGCTGAGCTCCCAGTGCATGATGGTAGCAAGGACAATATCCCTGATGATAGATCTGAAGTGTCATCTCTGGTCTCTAGTAGGACAGAATACCAAGAGCTGCCAACCAGATCAACTGTTAATGATAGTACAATGCAGTCTACAATTAATGATGCTTTACAAAGCAAAATAACMGGACAATCAATTGGTACGTATAAGTACATTATTGCATAAAAAATGTTCTCTGTGTCAACATCTGTAGTAATTGGGTTAGTGTTATGAGCACCTGGTCAACGTAAAATAAATAGAGGATATTACATGCGCATGAGAGGATACAAGTTTTATCTTTGAGTGTTCAATTGATATCGAACAAGTGAGTGTAGCGAACAAGTGAGATATTAATTGAACATGATAAGAAAAAATTTGTATCTCCAAGCGCCCAATCCAAGTAATTTTCTGTTTATTAAATATAAATTATCATAAACAAAAAACAGCAGCAAAAGTGTAGATATACTTATTTAATCATGGTAACGTGTTATCTTCACATGTTTGTCAATTGTTTTATGATCACTAGGCGGATTCTTCAGTACACCATTGAAAGCAAACATCAAAGATTTCCCTGAYAAACCATCATTAAATGATGGAGTAAAGTTTGATTCAACTCTTTCATCAATCAATGGTGATGATGCATTAGG